TTGTTTTTAAGTTTTTATTTATTTTTGAGAGAGAGAAAGCAAGAGCGGGGGAGGGGCAGAGAGAGAGGGAGAGAGAGAATCCCAGGCAGGCTCCACACTCACTGCAGAGCCCGATGTGGGGGCTCAAACCCACAGGTCATGAGATCACGACCTGAGCCGAAGGCGGACGCCTGACCAACTCGGCCACCCAGGCGCCCCAAGCGTGATCCATTTCTAAAGGGGCTCCAAACTGCAAATTACCTAAAGCAAAGGTCACGGCCAGTGGGGCCCCTGGGCTCTGAACCCTGGAGGCCTGACAGCACTGTGTGCTCGCTTGTTCTCAGCCTCCACCTTTGCTGTCCCTACAAACGCCCCCGCCCCGCGTGCTGGGCGGTCCCCCGTGTGCTCACCTGCGCGGCGTCCTGAAAGGCAAACACTGTGGGCACGGCATTCTGCTTCAGGTTTTTGCGGTTTCCAAAGGCGCTGAAGCACTCAGGTCGGAAGTGCTCGGAGCAGATGACCGTGTGCTGCTTGGGCTTGAAGTTGCCCCGGCCAATGTTCAGCACCCATTCCTTCAGCAGCTCCGGGCGGCTGAACGGGAACCTAGGAGGCAAAGGAGGGAGACAGGAAGGAACTTGCAAAGCTGATGTGGGCCCTGTAGACTTCTGAACCCTGAAAAATCCCACGAGGTATTTTAGCAGACAGCTTGGAAAATCCCGTAATCTCACTCTGTTAAACCACATCCAACTTCTGGAGGTTTCTGTCAGGGCCGGTTACGGCATCATTAGGAAACCTGGGGCCATGAACGTGGCCAGAAAACCTTCTGACGGTATACTTGCAGGGTGAGCCCATGTGAGCTCCCTCAGGAGCCTACCACGTGCGGCCCTGCCCCGGGCACTGGGAGGGAGGAATGAATACGACAGTCCCACCCTCATAGAGCCAACCTCCGAGAATAGGAAAACAGACGGTAAACCAAACAGATCTGGACTGTGTAGGAATAAAGAGTAGGAAGTGGTCAGGAAGGCTTCCTAAGACGCGAGGTGATGCTGTTCGTGAGCGTGCCCCAGTCCCTCTCTCTCTAAGTCTCTGCCCACACAGCCCCTGACCCCCTCCGCCGCTGCACCTGCGGCCGCCCTCCGTGCCCTGGCCAGAGCTCTCAGCCGGCACGGAGGGGGCCCTGAGCGGCAGCGGCACAGCCCCCGGGGCCTTGACCACAGCTCTCAGGCCCCGTCTGGCCACTCAGAAGGAAAGGACTAGGTCGAGGGGCACCTGCGTGGCTCAGTCGGTTCAGCATCTGACTCTTGATTCTGGCTGAGGGCATGATCTCACGGTTCATGAGTTCGAGCCCCGCATCTGTCTCTGTGCTGAACAGAGCTCGGCTGGGATTCTCTCTCTCCCTCTCACTCTCTGCCCCTCACTCCGCCTCAAAATCAAC